GCGAAGTGGGCACCACCGGTGGCCGCGGCTCCCCCGCGGGGGCGGCTGGTGCAGGTGGTTTACACGGCTCCACTGTTTGCTCGTGTTGTTTGCTCGCATGTTGGCTCCCGGCCCCCTCCCTCGCTTTACCTCTATTCAACCCTCCTTCCCTTGCATAATTTTTCACTGCATGTGAGATTTGGAGGGGAAATCTTGGTCAAAGGAGGCAAATGAACAAGGGAAGTTCAGTTTCAGCCTAGATCTATTTTGTCCCCTTGTCTTACCAGTTTGCATGCTACTAAAGATTGTTTTGCGTTTTGTAGGTTGTGGCCTGCTCGGTTCGGTTGGATCTTGAGAGCATGCAATTATTGTGCCATGGATCTGAACATGTGACCTTCAACACTGCAGTCCTGATGGTTTCTGGTCCGTTGTCTGCATTTTGGTCACCTACAATGATGAATACACTTTTCTCTTGCCGTTACATTTTACTTTGAGGGAATGGGCTGGTCCGTTGTCTGCATTTTGGTCACCTACAATGATGAATACACTTTTCTTTTGCCATTACATTTTACTTTGAGGGAATGGGCTACTGCAGTGATGATTATTGTAGTGTTTGATGCAATGATCATGAGTGATCTTTCCATGGTCTACATCTCTTCCTTCTTTCTCATGACTAATGACGCAATGCTCATGAGCTATGATGATTCTTCCTTCGTTTTTCATCTCTTTGCTATGTCCATAACTGAGGCAATGATCATAGGCTGTTCTATTTTTGCCATCTCTTTGTACCTGTTCCATGGTAATTGAGGCGATGGTCAATTGGTTGTTCCTGATTTTTAATGCATCTCTTCCTACCTATTCTAATTTGTGTGGTTTCGAGACACCAATGAGGGGTAATATTTATTGCCTATTCAGTCATGGTCTATGCCGATGCAATTATCTCTTTGTTATGAAATCTCGATTTCTGATGACGCTGCCTGTGATGATTTCCTCCTTTGTATACTCTGATGATTGCCTATCATATTCCGCTCATACTTGCTTATGATCATTGTCTGTTATGTTAATACACACGATTTATGTAATCTGAGATTGTGTTTATTGCCTGTGAACTGATAGTTATATTCTTGTTCTTTCTAGCCTTGTGATCATTGTTTGTGACCGTTGCTTCCTCACGTCAAATTATATACTGTTGGTTCTGAGCACATGCCCTATTCCCAATGATTACATCGCCAGGCTTCTGTTTTCCCTGCTCCTTTGAGTTTTCATTGGTTTTGATCCACTACTTTTGGTTCATTTATCCAACCCTTTATGTGTTTCATTTGCTTTTGGTCAAAGTGGTCTTCTAAAACCAGACATGGGCTGCGCCCGCTGTCTGAATACTCTGCTCCAGGAGAGCTGTGTTTCCAATCCTATCCACCGGACTCAGCCTATTGCCTGATTTTACATTGATTTTAATTGCTTTCTTCCTGTGTTTATCTTGCATCTGATTTAGTCTCCTTCATTCACCTGCTGACCTTGCTAGCCTCGACTGCAGGTTAACACGGTATTAATGTAACTGTTCGTGGAGACATGTTTTATTTTGTGAATTTTTTCCTTGCCACATCCATCTAACTTTGTATACATTCTTACGTCCTAAGTAATAGTCTTCTAAATTTCAGCTGTACTACGAGCTTGTAATGGTCCTAGGTTCAGTTACTGGGATGTTATATACTGCTTGTGTTTTAGTCCACTTATTGCTTTCATTACTAAGAGAATGAGTCTATTTTCCCTGGGTGTGGAGGCTACACAGGAAGATGTAGGCCTTGGCCATACAAAAGTAATATGTCTGCCATCTTTATGTGAATGAAAATATTTGCCTGTCATCTTAGACTTTTTTTTTCAAAAAGAGCCTCATCAAATTAAGGTAGTAACATAGGCTTTTCTTTCGATAAATCAGTATGCTTGACAAAAAAAATATTGAAACAAAAATGTAAGGTAACATTCATACTATTAATTGAGCCTCATTAAATTGTAGATACTAATGTGGGGTTGGTATCTGGCTCAAAGCCGAAAAGGAAGAGACAACATAGTGTTGGGCGTCATTCTTGGGCAATAAGAGTAATCAACAGGTACCATTCTGTATGCTCATTGTATGGCAAAAGAACTTTGCAACTAACAATATTTTTATCGTTTTTGTGATGTCCAGATATAGAACAATGTTTCTATTGGAAAGTAGCGATCAGATCACCTTTAAATGCTTGCTTCATGTGGTTCATTGTAATTCAAACCTTTTCACGAGGTTTGATCTATGATTCAGTTCACACTGTTCGTGTCTATGTTCAGCCTTAAATGTGTCCATTAAAATCTGCTCTGTTGTTATCGGCAGCCTACTCTACATGTCCATTTGACCAAGACAAACAGATAAGATCCCCTCAGCTGTTTTGTCCCATGGCAATTGTGGCTTACTCACCACTATTCTTGTATCAGTTTTATTGCATACTGCATGCCCATTTGCATCGTGATGTTTGTTCTAGATGATTATATATACTGTATGAAGGTGGCTTCACGATTTTATTCAAAAGCTGTCAGAGCATGTAAAATATTTAGGTAAGTGCCTCTGAGCTTTGGAGCTTTTTTACGTATCTGCTCTGAACCTTATTTTTTCCCCTTCTAACCTATATTTTACTTAAAGGTTCAGTACATGCTAAAATTCGTGGTGATAGTAACCTTGCTTGGTCATTTGTGGTTTTTGTTGTGGTTCCTACATAGACAACGGTTTCTACATAGACATGTTATGGTTTGCTATTGCAGATCAAGTTGCCCTTTTATTTTTTTCAGCACACCCACAGGCAATATATTGATTATTTCTCTTACCGTGGACATTTGAAAATTTTCTAGGATCATGTGAACAATAACATTTTTAAGAGTGTTTTGTTTGTTCTGAAAGTTCCAAATATAGTAGTTGTTTGGTTTCTTGAACCTGCACTGTCTCATATTAATTTATGCAAGCTAAAACATGAACTATTAAGCCTGCTCGGTTCAACTTGCTGCAGCAAGCTATCTCAGCCGCTGCTGTTCACTTATAGAAGACTTCATGCAGCCACATCTGTAGCAGCGGTAGGAAAAGCTTAAGTGAGCAGGCTTCTGTTTGTAGACACCTCCACCTGCAACTAGCCTTGACCAGACACTGTTAACACATATTTTGATTGACTGAGTCGCACTCCCCTGCACCACCGTTGTATGAAATCTACATTCACGCGCAGCGTTAGTTCCTTTTTCACCTTTTGCTGTTTTCACATCTCAGTACAAACAGGTGAGCAGCAGCTACATAATCTGCCTGCGGAAAGCTATTTCGAGACACTGAAAAGGCAGACCACTGCCATATCCTTACTCAGTCCTCTTCACAGCTTTTTAACTCAGGAAACCACACATACCCCATCTGGCAGCTTAAAAGTTTGAGTGTGCTCTCTTATACGTCTCGATAGTCTATAAAGTACTTAAACATTAGATTTTCACTAAGCAGAAAAAAATAGCCAGTGAAGAAACCTTTAACTTACCATATGGCACCTATATTTTTTGGTCTAATACCCTTAGCAGATGTATGTTGCTCACTTGCTCCAAAAAGGGTTGGAGGAAAGTAGATATCCTTTTGAATTTGTCGTTATACTTATGTCACTATGCCCTTTCATTCTTGTGTACTTGTCATATTTCTAGATTTTCTTTTATAAACATTAGATGCGTGTTTTAGAACATTTTCGTACTATTTGGAACTGGGTACTACCAGAAAAATTACATATCAACCCAACAAACAGAAGTCATATGATAGGATACATTTCATACTATTTATAAGAACCAATTGGTGATGACAACGGAATGTTCTTTGCTATTTTCACTTGCCAGTCTTATAAATTTGCTTCTGTTAGCCTTATGTGCAAATATTTGGACCGTAACAGGTTTATAGGAACAAATTGACGATGACAATGAATGCAGCCTATTATCAGAAACAAGTCCCAACCACATTTCGGGTGCGGGTGATGTGCTTGTAATCTAAGAAGAAGGGATCTGGTTTTCGAAGAAGTTCAAGTCTACTGTTGGTTAGTTTGGTCTTAGGGTTTACGATGTTTGACTTCTCAGTCTAGTTTCTGGATCTGTTGGTCATACGCCATATTTTGGATAATCATTATCTTGTTATTTCTCCATTGCTCTCGTCTATCCCGACTTTTGGAGTAAGCCTTGGTTGTACTATGTTGCTCTTAACCATGCAACTTTAAATCCCGCTGTAATTTAGTGTTCTACGCCGTGTAATCTTTCGTGTAATTCCAGATTTACGAAATGTGTTGTAGTTTCGCCTAAGGGGAGTGGATCCTAATTCACTCTTTTGTAAACCCTCGCGTTAGGAGACGTACTTGTGTTGTAGTTTTTGTTCTTTCCACCTATAATGTAATCCTAGCCAATGTTGTGCTTTGAATCTAAGTGTGTTAGTTGCTTGCGCCCAACTCCATCAAATACTTTTTTTCACTAACATATCATTGATTTGCTGGCCTAGAATAGGCACCATGTAATGACAACCAACCTCTATGTTGGTTTACAACATTGGTGCCGTTCGCTGGTCTGGTTTCCAGACCAGCCGGCTGGTTCCTCCTCACGGCGGCACTATTCATCAACCAGCCGCTACAGTATTTCTCTCTCACACAATCAGCCACTACAGTGTTTTGGCTTCTTTTTTCAGACAAGCAAACGGGGCCATTGTAATGAAAAAAGCCATGTTACCTTTTCTTTTCATATTTTCTCATTTAGTATAGCAAATAGACCAACCTTTCATAACAACGCGATGAGAAAACATATTAAACATATGAGCCATATTTTTACAACCATGTCACCCGCGGCGAACCGCGGGCAGTGGCTAGTATTGTATAAGACGGATCACAGCGACACCACTCCCTGTCGTGCGCTATGCATACAGTTACAGTGTGCCTTCACGGGGCACATTATTCTACTCATAGGTGATTTGACACATTTTATTTGGACCAAAGCCAAAACATTTAGGTGGCCAGCGTCGTCGGGAAGCAGCTGTCGTGCACGCATCGGAGCACGTCGCGGTAGTCCCTGTGGATGGTGAAGGAGTCGTAGACCTTGCCGTCGCTGCTCTTCTTGTACTCGAACAGCAGCGACGAGTGGTTGAAAGCCGTGAGCTTCGTGAAGCCGAAGTCATGGTCGCGGTAGATGCTCCACTTGGGGATCGCCGTTGTGTACTCCGACAGGTGGCAGCCACCGCCGCCGGCCACCACGAAGATGGTCCCGTTCATCGTCCCGGAGTAGTGGCTCTTCTCGCTGGTCATGCACTGGCTCTGCTCCATCGTTCGTTGCAGGGTAAAGTTAGGATTAATTACCAAGGATTACTGTAGAATCTCCTGGGTTAGTAGGTTACTACCTGGTACATAGGGCAGGTCCTCTCGTAGTTATGGACGTGGCCGAAGAAGGCGATGTCGACGCGGTACTTCTGCCAGAGCTTCTGCAGGTTCTCGCGGCCCTCGGGCTCCTCGAAGGACCCTTCGCCGGCGTACCAGGCGTTGGAGGAGTAGCCCAGCACGCGGTGCGTCGCGAAGATGAGCCACGGCTGGTGCTTCCGGTCCACCGTCGACAGGCAGTGCTCGATGAACTCGTACTGCGGCGTGCCCACCCGCCAGTCGTGCTCTGAGTCGGCGACGCAGAAGCGGAACATGCCGTAGTCCACCTTGTACCAGAAGTTGGCCCTGTTCTCGGCGGGGTAGTAGTAGTAGGTCTCGGCCGGCACGCCGCACTCGCCGCCGGAGTCCTCCACGTCCCAGAACGCCGCCGTGTCGGGCCAGTCCCGCTCGTGGTTGCCGCTGGCCACCATGTAGGGCTTCGTGGCTGTGATGGGCGCCACCTGCGCCGTGAACTGGTCCCACTGCGAGATGTAGCCGTTGGCGTACGGCATGTCGCCGATGTGGAACACGATGTCGTAGTTGTCCAGGTCACTGATCAGCGTGTCCGTCGTGTTCAGCGACCCCGGCTGGTACGCCGCGTACTCGTTCGACCCGTCTCGCTCCGCCTTTCCCATGTCGCCGAAGACGATGACGCGCTGCAGCGACTTCTGCCCCGGCGACGGCGGCGCGCGGAATGTGTAGGCCCGCTTGCCCCACACCATGGACCCGTCGTGGAGCTCGTGCCCGATCCTGTAGTAGTACCTGAAGCACAAAGTCCAAGAGAGTGAAACCTAAAAATTCGAACAGAGAGTACACGTGCACGTGCTTAAAGCTGACAACTAGTGACACATTCCTCGAGAAATAAAGCGTCGCCGTCGATGACACCTTGGGAAGTTGTGACAAAGATTAAAGCTGACAACTGCATGCGCTCGCTACAAACTCTGGAATCACAACACTGCGGTCTGCAATGCAATCAAGTGCAATGGCAGTGTACTCACTCCTTGTTGGGCCAGAGGTCCCTGAGGAAGGCGGTGTGGATGAACCCGGGGTCCCTCCACCCGACGGTGCGCGCCGGCTCGCCGCACATGCTGCCTTGGTTGAAGGTGAGCGTGCCGGCGGGCGCGCGCGCGGTCTGCTGGGGCTGGGCGGCGCCGGCGACCAAGGCGCCCCACTCCACGAACGGGTACGCCTCGCCGATGTCGTAGCCGCTGGTCCACGTCACCGTCATCTCGTCGTGGGACTTGCCCTGCGCGAGGCGCGGGAACACGGGCGCCTTGGGGTTCTTGAACGAGATCGGCTCCGACACCGCGATCAGCTTCGGCTGCATTCATGGATCGATCGATGGATGCAACGATGAGACATACAGACGGCCTTGATTGCAGTTAATCAGCAGAGGTGAGGTGACGTACGTTGTCGAGGCCGCCGGTGAAGAGGGCGAAGGAGAAGTCGGAGCGCTGGTTGATGAGCTGCAGCCGGATGCTGCCCTTGCCCCAGTAGATGTAGTTTGCAGAGTAGTTGGCGAATTGATACTGCGTGCACCCATATGCAGCAACACATGCACAATCTTTTCAGGTGAAAGAAATAAAGATCGTCTACAGATTAAGTTCAGACATTGGATGATTTCTCTTCAATTCAAAGTTCAAGCACAAAGGTTATTAGAGCCTGATACAATTGCAAATTACTACTAGCTAATTACCTTGATGGGTGCTGTGCAGAGATAGGGTTCTTCTGCTGGCCATGGGTTAGGACACGTAGCCGACGAGCTGCATATACATACATATATACACGCCACATGATGGCGAAGATGCGTCGTCGATCGTCAGCCATTTGATGGGGTTGCAATACTAAATTTGTACCAAGTCTGAAACTTACTTGAATTCAGCTGGAGAGAAGACGCCGATCCAATCGTCGTCGGACGGGTCTGTCCAGCCGTACTTCACCGTCACCCATTCAGTGTCTTCTCCCTGCAACATTCAAGAAGTTTGAAAGCATGTATACATTACATGGTGTGCTGAGTGGTGAGTGCATCTCAAAAAGATTTAAGAACAAAGCAACCGAAATCAGATGCCTGGACGTCGTTGTCTAGCAGGAGCACAACTCAACTCACTAGTTGATCACAACTTGTTAAAGGCCATGCATGTCATTCAGATGATCAATCTAAGGTCGACGCTAATATGTATCCTAGCTACTTCCAATGGCAACACTAATCTAAGCTGCCGGCGTAGCGTGTGCCTCTAGGGGCTACGGGTACGTGCCTGTTCGCCGAGCAGCGACGGGGTCGCCTCCACGTACGCAGACGGCTGCATTTCGACGGTGGCCTTGTGGACAGCGATCTTGGACAGCGGCTGGATCCCTTCCGCCGGGGACGCGCTGGCGGTCGTCCCCGCCAACATGGCCGCCGCCGCGACCAGCAGAGCGACCGCCATCGTCGCCGCCGCGGCTCCCGATGGTGACCACGCCATGGAAACTAAAACAGCTAGCTAGCGCTACATCACGGGCTGCCGGAGCCGCGTCGCTTTAAAACGACAGTAGGAGTAGACAGTAGTCTACTGGCGACGGCGTGTCCGGCTGACGTGGGCTCCCGGCGACGGCGAGTTAAAATAGTCCGCACTGACGACGGCCAGGCCTTTGCAGGCAGGCAGGCCTTTTGTCCTGGATGCCGGCCGGATCCCTGTAGGCTGTAGGAGTAGCTATCAGCCTGTCAGTCGTCTCTGACGGTGCTCCTGCCATTATTGGGGCCTTATTTGCCGCGCAGATTCGGTGTCGGTTTGACCTAAGCATGATTGGGCTAGCTAATCGCACATCGGTAACCACTCTCTGATTTCATTTAGAAGAAAAGAACAGTGTCCATTTTGATTATCTCAAGTTGAGTTACTTTGATCGTCGGCAGGGCAGTAGGGCCCCTTGTCGGCATGTGCTTGATCAGATCGGCCGTATGCGCGAATAGTAGACCAACACAGAAGACGACGCGATTATTTTACAGCCTGTTCGGGAGGCCGTATCGTATCGTGATTATTTACTGCTGGCTGGTTTAGTGTGAGAGAAAAACACTATTTCTGGCTGGAAATTTACGATCGTTTACGAGCAAGCGAACAGGCTGCTTAGAGTTTGGCACGGCTTTAAATGGCTCCGGTTTCTTGTTAAAGTGTACGGAGAAGATGGAGCCGAGGAAGGCAAAAAGTGATAGTTTCAACGGCTTTCAACGGCTTCTAGTTCAATTTGATTTTACAAGATGGGAGGGAAAGACGACTCCTCACTATAGTGTATGGAGGAAGCCAAAGGCATCGAAGCCATTTGAAGCTCTTCCAAACACTCGCTATAAGCCTAGTCTTAGTGGAAGTTTTATCTGCATTAAATAGGTCGTCACATATGTATTTTTTATGACATGACAATGAATTTAAGAAGAGAGATAATAAATGAGTTTTATGGAGATGAAACTCTCTTGACACGATTATCAACTCTGTATGAGTCATGAAATTAAATGCCTATGAAATTATAGAATGAAAGTTTCCATATTGAGAGTGAGTTTCATCCCAGTTTCATTTCATTATGTATGACATGGTAGTCTTGAAAACAGCGCTATAATACTATCCACAGAGACTAGGCTAATCGCACATCTAGGGGACTAGGTCACACAACCATCACTATGTGGATGTCGATAGCGCACGCAGGCTTCCCAAACGAGGCCAAAGCGTGGATAGTCCATTATTCCAAGCACCACGTGATGGAGATCGCTACAATGGTGTGGAGCCAACGCCTCTTGTCCCTTCTATCCCATGGTGGCACCACCGAACAAGAACAAGGGCATGCCGATTGTTTATTTCGCCGTTATGAGCAGGAGTGGTGGTGGTTAATAAGGAACGAGGACGGTGAGAGAGCTCATCCCATGGAGATAAAAAATGGAGGAAGAAGAACGAGGTTGATGACCGGACAAAGAAGGTGAGACCATGTACATCAAAGGAAACACCAACGGTACTTTGTAAAAAAAGAAAAAACATCAACATATGGATCCCGCAAATTGTTTTTGAAGAAAGCGTTAACGGCATAATGGCATATTGTTGCAGAGGTATCCGTTACACTGGCTACATGATGTGGTCAGAATTATAGCTAGCAAGCTAGCTGTCTTGTTGAAAATGCCCTAACGCTACTGTCGGGTACCTTAGGACGGGGTACCCCGAGCGAACATCAAAGGGGGCACTTAAGTCCCATCAAAATACAAAGCTAGAAGGTAAGCCGTGGGCCCCTCACCCGCCACGTCCGAGCCCGCCAGGCTCTCCGCCTCATCTCGAGCCTCGCAGAAAGGTCTCGGCGTCCTGACGCAATCTCCGCCTCGCGCGAGGCTCTTCATGGAAGGCCTCGGCAAGGAGTCCGATCTCCGTCTCGCGCGAGGCTCCGCCCTCCGTCTCACGTAAGGCCTCATTCTCCGTATTGCGCGAGGCCAGCTTATCCATAGTCCGTCGCCTCCGCTTCGACCGACCCTCCTGACAGCACGTCATGTCCCATTAATACTTCAACCACTCCCGCAATCTCCACCGGACGACGGCTTGACACCACAGAATGGCCGACGGGGCCTGAGGTCGCATCAACGCCCACACTGCACTGTGCCCATACCGGCTGGGATTACCGGCCACTGTGTTCTGACGCTGTGCCCATGATCAGCGCCCACACTGCACTGTGCCCCGCGATCCCCGCCTCCAAAACAACATCGCACGGACTACTTGGCCCGGGTCATCACCGCCTCCAAGCCAGCGCGCCAGATCAGCCACCCTCTCGGAGCCTCGGCACTATACACCAAGGTCTCGGCTATCTCGGGGTTCGTGCTCACCGAGACCCCCACTGCGGTGTAGCCTCGGCACTGACCGAAGCCTCGGCCTCACGCGCCGCCAATCCACAGCGATCCACGTCCTGGCCACCGCACCTGCTCCGAGGTAGCCTAGAAGCTCCCATGATGCACAGGGTCGGACGTGACCAGCACGTCGCCCCAGTGCTCCAAGGACAGACCACTTCGACGACCACGCCGCCATAGGAACATGCCACAGGGCTCGGACACACCGCCCCTGTTGGCACGACGCCGTATAGTCAGCACATGTACTGTCCTTGTCCTCTCTTCAACTATAAAAGGAGAGGACTTGGGCCCCTTAGGAAGAAAAAAGAGGGAGAAGACCTGGTAGCTCACACACATACACATCCCAGCCGCCCGAGAGCAACGTCTCAAGCAGCCCACACGACACCTCGCCAAGACCTGGGATTAGCTCCCCCTCTCCCTGTGCTTGTAACCCCCTACTACTAGCACTTCGGTGCAAGGAATACAAGATCGATCTCTCAGACTGGACGTAGGGCATCGATTGTCTGAACCAGTATAAACCTTGTGTCTCTTTGCATTACCATCCGGGGTTAGGGGCACGTAGTTGGTAGAGGACCCCCGGTCCGAAACACCGACAGTTGGCGCGCCAGGTAGGGGCGTCTGCGTGTCAGTTTCGTCATCCCAACAAGTTCCGGATGGCAGACCCCGTACGACCGTTACGTATCGGCACGGTGATCTGGTTCGGGGGCCTATAGTTCATGTCTCTGGGGCATGAGTACGACATGATACTCCTCACGCCCCGAGCCCCACCAACCGACGGCGACGTCACGAACCGGCAGCCCAGGCACAGGCGGCGCCCGGGCGGCCGCTCTCGCCGTGCTTGCCAGGCACGACGCGAGCAAGACCACCCCAATGCTACTCGAATCCAGGACGACACGCCGCTCCCCGCCGACATCCTACGACCAGCTGTTGGCACAGGCTCCCTGGTTGGGGACCTGTCTAGCCTGAGCTTGGACAAAGGAAAAACGCCGGTGGCACATAGCGACGCCCAGTCACCAAGCTCCGCTCCACCACTCCCTGAAGAGCCAGTTTCGGTGGAGCAAAGTCCGGCGATGGCACCATCCTCATACCCCTTTGGGTTGAGAAATGCCGCCACCTCTTATGCTTATGCTTACGCCGCCGCTCACAAGGATCCCCCAGAACGCCGCCAGCGCTTCACTCTCGACCTGGGCACCCACGCTGACTCCTCGGAGGAGGACGAGGCATGGCCCGGAGTGGATTTCTCTGGACTCCATGACCCTGGGGCTATGCGTCGTTTCCTGGCCGCAAGCGACTACTACTTTGGCTACTCCAACTCCGACAACGAGGGCACCTACGACCCCGCTCACAAGTGTTTCCACGTCGGGCTCGGGATGCCGAGGGCGGGCGAGGAAGACGAGGGGGCGGGTAGCCGTTCCCCGCTTCGGCCAGGTATAGGCGCCGCCACACCTCCGCGCATTGTCCTACCGGCAGCACGGAACGAGAACCCTGCTCTTGCGTGACCTCAATGTCCAGACCTAGAATAGCTCCGTGAGCTCTAGGCCAAGGTCGAACAGGACCGACTCCTTCTACAGCAGCTTCGAGACTCTCTCGAATAGGAGCAGCGAGGTCACGATGAAGGCGGAGGAGCTCGACGAAGGGCCCGCGATGTACATCATTGCATCCACGACGACGAAGGGAGCGAGCAACCCCCAGTCTTCAATCGCGCCAGCCAGAACGTCGCGGCCACGGCAATGCTGGTCCACGCGATGCCCGAACCTTCTACCACGGAGGGGCGGCGGGTCCACAATGAGCTCAAGAGCTCCTAGAGACCGCCCAGTGGTTCAAGAGAGCCGAGAGTTCCGCCTCCCGGCGGCACGGGGCATCTCAAACCTGCTCAGCGGCACCGCCTCGGCAAGACAGGGGAAGCCTCGGCTCGTCCCCGAGCCCACTCGAGCACCGATAGCCCATAGGGCCCCATATACTCGACCACCTCGGCAATCGACGTGAGGTGCGGGGGAAACCATGAGGTGGTTAGCGACGACCACACCACAACAGCGAGGGGCCCGCTCGGGCTACCACCACCCACATCGAGGTGGCATTATGATAGTGGGGAGGACCGCGATCCTTCCCACGAGCCGC